CCCCCCAGCCCCAACAAGCAACCCCTCTCAATCACAGTTAGCCCTCAACAGCCGTGCCGGCATGACCCCGCGCATTGGCCGGGTCCTTTTCCAAAGCGGAAAGGCGAGGCTTTGAGCCCGCAGGTGGTAACTAGGAAGTCTCTTTGAGCCCCACTGGTCGCCTGCTGGTTAAAGGCCCCACCTGAAGTCCTTGAAGACGGTGTCAACCTGCATGGAGGTCGTCCCAAAGGGCAGGAAGTCGCCGTCCCGCAGCCACGTCACCGTCACGCGCGTCACGGCGCTGGCGCGGATCTGGAACTGGGCGGTGTACTGCTTCGTGGGCGACAGCGGGACGTAGGGGCCAAACACCTACGGCAAAGGGTGGCGTGTGGCAGTTGCTGGATTGGTTTTGGCTCCTTGACTAAATTTCATTGGGTGGGGTGGGTTGAGTTGAGACGATAGAGTTGCAGGGGGTTATTTGAAGGTTTGAGGGTTGGGAAGGCGGCCAGGCAGGGGCTTTGGGTCTGGGTGAAGCCTAACCCGGAAGGTCCCCGCTCTGGGTGCCCCCGCCGATTGAATGCATGCGTGCCCGTTTTATGCCCCACAGGGACAAACATCCAGGGGTTTGACCCCCAACCCAGCCCAACCTGACTAACCAACCGACCTGGACGTGCCACGTGGCGGTCCCGGGCGTTGTGACTGTGACAGACGCCCCTGCCACGCCCGAGTAAGCAGCTGCGCCCCCAGCAGCAAAGTCAAACGTCGCTGCAGCCCCGAGGTACGCGCCGCCAGCAAAGACGGCGCCGCCCGCGCCGGCCTCAAAGGTCGAGGAGGTGGCGGGCAGGAGGCCGCCGGGCGACGCGCGGCTGGGGGCGGCTGGGACCGGGGCGGCGTTGGTGAGGCGGACCCACGTGGCAGTCTTGCAGGGCAGGTCTCCGTTCTGTTGGGAGCAAGTCGAGGGGGGGGTGGAGGGTGGGGGTGATACCGAGCATGGGAGCAAGTGCTGATTTGCACCTCAGGTATTGTATGATGAGAGGGCAAGACCTCGACGAGGCAATAGATTCAAGTGGCAAGGGCTGTGGAGCAACACAAAACATCCGCTCTGGTTTCACCCATTTTGAAGGTGTAGGTGCGTTGACGCAGCCGCCCAGGCCCCAAAAGTACTCACCATAAGGAACAGCATGTACCTGTTGGGAGTGCAGGGGGGGCAAAGAATAGGGTAAGTGCACGCAGCGCACAGGACTTTGCAGGATGAGGAGCGAAGCTAGTAAGCATGTAATGCTCAGAACCCACGAGTGCTTTGTTGATACAAGCAGAGTGGTGGTGGTGCGATTGAAGGGATTGTGGCGGTCACTATGTTCCTGCAACGATCCTGCAACAATCCAGCAAAGCCGAGCGCTTGGCCTTTGGCTCCAGCCGCGCAGGCCCCTCACCACCCGGCGCTCGCGACCAAGCCCCCAGGTGGCGGCATGGTGACGGTGATGCTGCCGCCGGCGTTGGCGGTGGTGGCCAGCTTGATCAGCCGCTGGTCCATATTCGTCTGAGGGAGTGCAGTGATTTGCAAAAGATCAAGGAAATCTCCAAGCGCAACAAGGTGAATGCTCCAAGAGCCCCTGACGGCATTTTGCCTCCTGATTGACACTGTGTAGTCCCCAGACACCCAGAAATCATGCCTAAAAGCGGAGTGGGAGATGTTGGAAGTATTTGCGCCGGAGCGCTTACCTGATGCGTGACCGCAGCGGGGGCGGCGATGACGGCATGGGTGACCGCGCCGGTGAATGTGATCGTCAGCGGCGCCCCCATCGCGACCGCCTCCGCCGACTTGCCGGTGATGGTGGCGCGCTGGCTGAAGAGCGGCTCAAAGCTGTAGGGGAGGCGGAAGCGCTCGGCCTGCGAATGCAATGTGCGTTTGTTGATATCCAGGTCTGTCGTTTAGACCACCTGCATCGCGGCATACTCAAATCATACTCTAGCTGCAAGGAGGAGGACGGCAGCACCTCGACACTTCCTTGCAGTGCGCAGCTTTTGGCATGACGTCCAGGCGGACAGAAAGGGATGTGGGCGAGCGGCTGGTGCATCTTCACACCAGGCGCCGCCACGGCGCACCTGGAACTGCTGGAGGTTCTTGGCCGGCACAAAGCAGGTGGAGACACACTCGTCTGGGCGAAAAGTGGGTGAGGGGCAATGAGCACAGGCGGGTGGGTTGGCCCGAGAGCCGCCAAGCGATGTGCTCCCAACCCTCAGAGGCCGTTCAACGTCTCTTCGCCCGTGGCGCACGGCCCAGGCACGCCATGCAATGATGCAAGGGGCAGAGCCTGCACAATGAAAACATGACCTGTGCCGATCGCCCCCCTCCCTGCCAGTCGCAAGCTGGCAGCTTCTGCACAGCTTCAGAGTCAAACCCCCTCACCCTGCTCTGACCCCATGACCAGGACGTCGCCGTCCGGCATGAGCATGGCCACGCTGTGGTAGAGCCTCTTGATGTTGGTCGCGGCCATCACCTTGAAGCGCGCGCCGGCTGGGGCGTAGGGGTCGTACAGCCATGCCTGTGTGTGTGCATGCGCGTGCGTGCGTGCGTGTGCATGCGAACGTGTGTGTGTGCGTGTGTGTGTGTGGGGGAGAGGGGGCGCGCGCATTCGCGCATGTGTGGTTGCGAAGCGTTCGTGTGCACACATACGTGCGCCGGAGCACGTGCGCAAGATATTGCATGTGAATGTGCGTGCTGATGTGTTTCAGAGAATCAGCTTAAGCCCCTTGGGGCACAGGCCTCACCTCATAGACAGGGCTGCGCGCCTGGCTGCCGCCCAGGGGCCCGCCGCCGTTGCTGTTGCCGAAGCGGGCGCCATTGACCAGCAGGACCTTGCCATTGGGCAGCAGCACCTGCGCGCGCACGTGAGATGTGCACACCGCACGCGACCGATTGAGCCTGTGTGCAGGCTGGTTTCCAAGCGCACTGCAAAACCGCCCCCATATACATACACAGACTTTGTGTGGAAGACCGTTGTTTGTGCAGGCTGCCTGTCATGACCAACGTCCCTCCAGTCAAAACAAGTGTCTGGCTGGTGGCCCCAAACCACCATAAACAGCCTCCTGTCTTTGTCCATCACGCAGCCCCAAATAGCCACTGCATTTCCCCGGCCGCTCACGTTGTCCACCATGTTGCGGCCCCCAGGCATCTTCTCGGCCTGCCACGCCCAGGTGCCGCCTGTCACTGCGGCCTGACCCAGGTCAAGCCGGTATGCGTTGTCGTTGGCGGGCAAGTCGCAGGCGCAGTTGCCAGCATCGCCGCCGGAGCCACCCCACATGGCCTGGGTGAGAGGTGGAGGGGGAACACATGTGACAACAACGGTTTGTGCTTGTGTATGCAGAAGACGAGGGTTACAGTGGGAGCAATAAAATCGAGGCGAGAAGCGGTAGTGGGTGCGAATGCCAAGCAACCGGCCAGCTGGGCAGCTGGCGCGTGGATATGTGTGTGTGTGTGTGTGTGTGTGTGTGTGTGTGTGTGTTGACACCATTAAAGCTCAGCATACGCCTGGCGTGTCACCACATCCGTTGTGAAAGCCGGCGACGGCTAAGGCGTCAGTGGCGGCCACCTTGGTGAAAAGTTTTTAGCAATTACGGGGGTTCCCAACGTGCGCGAACCCCAAGCACTAGCTATGACATCAAAATTCCAGCGCACCAGCTCTGGTGCGTAGCCCTTGTCTGCGTCCAGGCGCAGGATGGTGGCGGTGCCCAGGGCGGAGAAGGCAGAGCAGAACGCGGGAGTCGGCCAGGCCGGGGTCGCGTAGAGGGTCTTGAGGTTGTTGCTCTGGTCGAGCTGCATGACGCGCTGCGGTGGGAGGTTAATCGGGCGTGGATGGGGTGCATATCGGTTGGTGGGACGGTTGGTTTCAGATGGACCAAGGCGAAGTTGAGTCAAGGCAAGGTGGGGACAGGCATGCTGCAACTCGAAAGCAATGCGGGGGTGGAGTGTGCGTTGTTGTTTGGGACGGTGTCTGCCCCTTGCAGCGCCCGCCCCCGCCTTGAGCTGACGCGTGGTATGCAGGCTGCACTGTTACTGCTTACGCCCTGGTTGCATGCAAAGACAAAGAAGAGGTTGTTGCCAGCAGCATTGGTCCAGGGGAGCAGCTTGGTAGTGGGATACAGATTGAGGCCGCCTGGGGTTGTGGACGATTGCAGGGTGAGGGGCAAGATGAAAGGCGGTCAGTGGAGGAAGCGGAGCTGGCGCGGCGAGCGGCGATTGCGGCGCGATGTGCAGCTGGCTTGTGTGCCGGACCGGGCAACTGCCAGCGGTGTGCACGCGCTGCCGACAGCCCGCGGCGCTTCGTCGCCAGCGCGCCCCGCCGCCGGCCTCATGCGCTTGCCGCCTGGTGACCAGCAGGCCGCCTGTCAGCCCGCGTACCAAGCTGCAGAAGGAAGGGCTCTGGGTAGATGGTGGTGACGCGTTTCACGCGGCCATCCCAGATCTCGATCGCGGGCACTGGGGGGTCGGCCTCTGACGCGTAGCCGCCCACGTGGAGCACTCGGTCGTCGGGCAGCGTCAGCTGGGTGGGGTACCCTGAGGGCGGACAGGAGGGGCGCGGCGGCAGAGTGATCTGTTGGCGTTGCAAGGAGACGCATCTCATGAGGGGGCAGTTGGAGTGCCAGAATGTACTCAGGGGTGCTTGCAGGCCGCACACAACACAACACCGTTTCGGTCAGCTTCGGTCAGCTTCATGGGACGGCTTTCGACGCGGTGTTGAGAGTGATAGAGAAGGGGGCAGTTCTGCTGGCTTCGGGCGGGGCTGGAGTGATCGGCTTGAGGCACGCATGCTCCTCTGGGCCTGCTCTCATCCTGGGCACACCACCCTCGTTTCCAAGCGACGCCGTCCCGGCCCCCATCCCCCCGCCCCCCAAACGCCCCGGCTCACAGTGAGGGTATGCAAGCCCCTCGGGCCGGACAGTCCAGGCGGTGCCGTCCTTGTCCCAGGTGCGCACGGCGTAGCGCCCCTCCAGCAGGAACCCGCTGTTGGCCCAGTCGCCGCCGCCCGCGACGATGGTGCCGTCGGACAGATGGGAGTGGCCTGGGGTTGCACATACGCGGGTGCAAGGGGGGGGGGAGAACGCACAGTGATTAGGGAGGGCTGCATTGGTGTGCGAGAGCTGCAAACGGCAATTGAGAGGAGTGGAGCCAGGTTATAGACCAGAGAGGGTCTGCACAAGGCAGTGGTCTAGAAGGTGCGAGTACGCTTTCAGGATTGCTTCCTCGCAGAGGCGGGACCTGGGGGCAAGCAGCTGAGCAGCACGCTTGGAGAGTTGTGCTGGAGCCCCCCCTACCACCTGCCTGCCAAGCCTGCCAAGTGGGGTCCGATCGAGAGACTTCCCCCCACCTCGCGCCCCCACCTGAGCAGAAGGGTGCGATCCTCATGGGCGCCTTGACGTATGTCCCGGCTGCGAAATCGTAGACAGCCGACACCTCGGGGGTGCCATCTGCGGCAGGGGGACGGGAGGGCGCCGCCGGACACCAGGGGCGACGCGAGGGAGCTGTAAGCGCACGCGAGAGCACATCCGCCCGAGCAAAACACGCTGAACAAGCTGCGTGTGGTGCAGGTTCGAGGCGGCGCCAAGCATGGGTGATGCCTCCCGTCAGAACACGCATGCGGCAGCGCACAGCGGCCTGTTTACGTCCCCTCGGGCGCACCCGTGAACATGCCGGGCTCGTAGGCGGGCTGGTAGCGGCCCCACAGCAGGACCTTGGTGGTGGTAGGGATGAAGACGGCGTGGATGGCGAGGGTCCCTGTGGAGGAGCGCCCCAGGGTCGGGTTGATGATGAGCTCGTCTGCGAGGCCGGGGATGACAATGAGGATGAGTCAGCGGCAGGAGCGCGCGCGTTCGATTGGTAGTGGCTCACGAGATTTTGAGCTTGCGAGCCGCGAGAGCAGCACAAGCAGGTACGAGGAGTCGCACTACTAGTACAATGCACCCGCCGACAAGATGCGAATGCCACACGTCGCCACAAATGCCGAGGTGACGGCATCACCCGCTCCCGCTGCCCGTCGCCGCGGCTTACATGCTCCAATGTCGTTGCCGGGCGCTTGGAGCAGCGCCCTGCGGCGCCCGGCAGGGCTGTCGCCGCCCTTGCCGGGCTCCTTCCCGGCCTCTGCGAAGACCTCGGCGGTCGCGTTGACCGAGCTCAGCACCACCACAGCCGCGCGGGCGGCGCCCGGCACGCGGGGCGTGCCGGCCTCGGCCTTGGAGGCGCGGCCGAAGCCCTTGCCCCTGACGGACTTGATGGCGGCCACCTCCGCCAAGCTCTCATTGCCGGGGGAGGCGGCGAGGGTGGCTTCGTACGACTCCTTCGCGGTGCAGACCTTGGTTTTTTGGTTGCGGGGGCGTGCGGGGGTGGCAGGGGTGGCCCGGGGGGTGCTTGGTTGCGGGCGTGTGCGGGGATGGCAGGGGGAGCCTGGGGGAGTGTGAGAAGGGTCATTCGGCGACGGGCTGCTTTGTCACCAAATCGAAGGGCACGGCGAGGTTGGGACGGCGGGGCTCAAGGGTATCGAGCTGGCACATATGGACAGCGAGCGGCGGTGCGGCACGTGGCGGCGCGCACGCAATTCGCACGCACCGAGTCAGCCCAGTCGCTGGTGATGGGTCCCGCATTGGGGTTGCCGTTGCCGCACACGGCGCCGGGCGCCTTGCCGGTCTCGTCAAACCTTGGCGGAAAGGCAATGGAGGGCGCACGTGCAGGCGGCTAGGGAGGCGGCGCGGCCCACACGGGAGACTTGTGGGCGGCCGGGCGCTGCAACACCACGAGCACCCTCGCATGCAGCGGCTTGGGGCACAGACACCAGGGGATTGCGGCTCACCGTTCGCATTTGCCGCTGAAGGCGTTGTAGTACGACACCCGCTGCGCTGTGCCGTAGCCAGGATTGGGCGTGCTGTCGCCCTCACGCTGCTTGAGGCACTCGTACGACACGGCCTTGCCACTGCACAGGGCAGAAGGGGTTGCAGAGAAGGGGTTTGTTGTGGCGGCCGTATATGTACAGGTGGCTTACGAGGGGCCGGGAAGGGATTGGCATCGAGTCAATCGGCGCGGCGCCCCAGCGGCGTGCGGAGCAACATGAAGGCAGCCCTCTCACTCGCAGCAGACGAGGTACTCATGGCAGTTCTTCGGGTGTGGCACCTGTACTCGAGCAAAAATTGGGGATCGGGCCGCGCGGGTCAGATCGAAAGATCTCGCCCATTCGTGTGTGGCAGAAAAGCAGATGAGAATATTGGTATCTCGAGAATAGATGCGGCTGGTGTTCATCGGCCTGTTGACAACGTGACCACAGCAGAGCTGGTGTCAGCCTGGCTCCTGCAAAGGCACCTGAGCACCCGACCAGCCGCAAACTCACCTGCACGTAATCCTGGCCGGCGCAGGAGGAATCCAGCTCTGGGTCCGCACGAATACCCACCGCTGCAGTCACTAGCAGCACGCCGAGCACGGCTAGCTGGCAGCAGTGCCGCCTCGGTAGCCCCATTGCGAGCTCTCACGTTGCGAGGTCTGCCTAGGTGCACCCTGCGAGGCCAAACGCACGACCAGCAAGCTTGAAAGCGATTTGATTGACCTAGTAAGACTAAATTGTGACTCTAACGCGGTGGCCACAGCTTCACCGCGGAGATATCGTGATCGCCTCAATTGTGGGCAGCCCGCGAACGCTAGAGCCACCGAGTGAAGCGTGCTCGGTCGCAGAAGCAACACGAGCCTAAATTATAGGCATGTGAGTTGCACGTCAACGAGCTACGTGCACTAGCTGCCGTTCATGCTCCTCCGAGGCAACGAAGGTGCAGCGTAACTACTGTCGCAGCAAGCGAAAAGGAGCGGGTGGCGGAGCCTGTCGTATGATTTCTGCAATATCAACGAAATTGCGAAGGTGCTCACGCCGCTTACTGGTAGCGCGCTGGGCGGCTCGTGCGGCGCGACGGTCAAGCATTACTTGGTGGTCAATGCTGCTGACTGGCCAAGCCTTCACGTCTTGTCTGCATGTGAATTCGTTGCGTTACCAAGCAAATTGTATACCGGGGCACACCCTGCAGCCAGTGACTCCAGTATCACGGGCGCAGCAGCGGGCGCTTGGAGAGTTGTCAAGACCAGGTCGACACGACACGCTGGCTCATGAAGAGTTATGGTGCTTGTCGGATCTGCAAACCAAGATTTATCTGAACGTTGTTTCCAATCATTCCACACATGTCATAGATTGCGCCCACCAGCATCAGATTGCCCCTGCTACCGCACTGCCTCCTCGCTCTAAGAAAAGATCATGCACAAGTCAATACAAATGTCAAGCGCCCGCGTGAAGGGTCGCATAGCTGGTGAGCGCGCTGGCAGTCCGATGTGGGTGGGCGAGTTGGCTCAAATGATCATAGCGCGCCCGCAACTGCAGATGGTCACCACAAGCGGGTGCTACGGCACCCACTGAAGGCGCTGAAGAGGGCCACTCTCGTCCCCCTTGGCGAGGCAAGCTGAGCAGCATGCTTTTCCCAGCTGCGGCACACTGCGGGGGGGCGGGGTGGTGCGCAGCAACATCGCATGCTGCCCTGCAGCCAATCACTGTAATGGTGGTGCACTTGAAAGTTTTGTTCCTGTGTTCCCTTGCCAACCCGCTGCATCTGTCCCCTGCTCAAGTGCACCGCGCTCGGCGCAACTGTACAGGCACCCTCACCCGAGGAGGGCCTAGCATCGATGGCCAAGCAGGCGTTGCAGAGCGACCCTGAGGCGGCGGCTGCACTGAAGAGGTGCGGCCACCTGATGCAGATTTGAAATTTTTGGTGGTGTGCCAGTGTTCAGGATCACACTGCTGGGAGTGCAGGGCAATGTCGTGAAAGTACGGAATGGAGCGCACACCTTCCATCCCCCTTGTTTGCTGGGTGCGGACCAACCCACCCTCGGCGGCCACTTCATTAGGTACGAGGATGCTGTGGTGCGGCTGGAGAAGGCGCGCGCAACTGAGCGGGAGCTGGAGAGCGTCATGGCGGTGAGAATGCAGCTGCGCCGCGACGCGAAGGCGCAAAGCTTGGCCCGGATTGCCTGCTTCAGCTCAGGCGCAACCAGGGCGACCTCGCCCTTGGGTATGGTGCATCTGGTCATGACTGGCGCCTGCCATCTTGTATTGCAATACCTTCAGGAGGCGGCTAAAGCAGCAGCGCTGGCGGACGCCGCCGCCCAAGCCAGCGCCCGGGTGCAAGCGGGGCAGCTTATGGCTGACGCCGAGGTGGCGGCCGCGGAGAAGCTGCTTAGAGTAGCCCAGATCGAGCACAACCTCGCGGAAGGCGAGAAGGCACGCGCGCGTGGCGTGGCATACTCAGTAATGGACCGTGCTGAGTCCGGCAAGGCGGCGATGGTGGCGGTAGCTGGCGGGCTGGCCGCCGCAGTGCCGCTGGCACTGGCAGCAGCTGATAGCGCGGGCGGCAGCGCCAGCGAGCTGCTGTCGTTCGCTGATGTCGTCTGCTGCAGCGCGCTGTTTGGCGTCACATACAGGTGCGTGCATGAAGACAATCATATACTGCGGAAATGTGAGCAGGCTACTCACATCTTTGTGTTGGTTCTCTGCTTGGCCATCTTATGCTTGACACAACTCATTGTTGTGAGCACCCATCACGAGTGTGCTGTCCCAGAGCAGCATAATCCACAGCTTTCCTTGTCAACCTGCCTGGCTGGCACGCTGGCGCAGGTATATCGTACGAGAAGACGCCCACAATAAACACCTGCGGGGAGGCGCTGTCACCGCCTTTGCCCTGGTGCGCGCTGCGGGTGGCTTCGACGCTCTGCAGCGTTCGGCGGCGGCAGGAGGAGCCGCCGCAGCAGCAGCAGCAGGTACCACCGGCGGCGGCGGTGTCGTGGGACTTGAGCAGCTGCTGACGCCAGCCGTTGTGGGACCGGCGGCTCTTTACGCAGGGCAATGTATGCTGGTGTTTGGCTTTGGTGCGGCTGCGCTGGAATGGGCGTTTGCAAGCGGCCTTGTGCGACGAATGCGCGGCACGTTCTTGCAACCATGAAGGTTCGGCCTGATAGAAAGTCATACGTGGGGGATTGCGACAGGTTGGGGTGCGGCCAGGATGAGATGTTGTTGACCTGCAGAAAGACACATGTGTGATTTGCATGTATCTTGGCAAGTGATGCAGGCGGGTCATCAAGTCAGGCAAAATCAAGAACATGTTGGTGGTTGGCCAAGCCACGCTTGCTCCGAAAGCCATTTTGCAACAAAAAAACGGCCAGCCTCACAAAGGTGGCTAACATAGCCCAGCCAGCCACCACAACCATCCCCTGCTGCCATGCCCAGGCGGGCCAACACACTTGCACACATGCACGCGCAGCGCCTGCTCGCCTGCCGCACGCGAGCGCGCGCTCAAACCGCGGGTGGTCCACGACCTCTCCCTCTTTTCCGGGCCGTGGCCAAGTGTAGAGCACGGTGCGTGCTTGGTGTTGGGCAGCAGCCGTCGCCAGCACAGGACAGTGACAGGGGAGACAGCCCGTACGCGGTGTAGAGAGCACGATTATTGTTGTCAGCATTTTTTGCTATAAGCGTCGTAACTGCGGTGACGACACGTGCAGCAGCAAGTGCCCAAGCCAAAGCAGCCTTGCAACAACGCAGCTGGCCCAGCACGTTGTGCCACTTACGCTACCATTGTTGTGTAGCAGCTGTGATGGCAGTGGTGCTGCTGCCATGAACAGCGGCAGCGGCAGCGGTGTTGCGGCGGGGGGCGATCTGCACTCGCCACTGCAGCAACTACGCTCTTTCGAGCATGGCATGGCTGCCAGCCGGGGCAGCCACAGGAGCACCTGTGACAGTGCACGGTGTGCCTCACGCGGCAGTATGTTTGGGCTCCTCGCTGGCGCCTCTATTTGCGAAGCCTGCGCCTTTCCCCTGATGCACGTGCTGTGCACGCCCTGTCGTCTCTGCGCAGACCACAGCCAAGATGGTGCAGCCGCTTGTCCGCCGCAAGAAGGAGGTCAAGAAGCGGAAGCACTTTGACCGCCACCAGAGCGACCGCAAGCTCTGCGTCAAGCCCAGCTGGAGGCGGCCGAAGGGTATCGATGGCCGCGTGCGCAGGTGCGCTTGGGCTCACGGGCGGCAGGCAGCTGCTTGATTTGATGTCGACTCCTCACAGATGGCTCGCGGGTGGTGCCGCCTGTGAGGGGCCCGCTTGGTGCTTTGCACCAAGCATTTGAAACGCATGTGGGGCTACTGCGGCTGTTCTTGCACTGGTGCAATGCAGTCGAACCCATGGCCTATTCAGCAGGCTGGTTCGGGATCAAACAGCAGGCTAGGCGGTGCCGGCAGGGGCAGGACACCAAGCACAGGCTGCATACAGTGCAACAACTGCTCGGGCACGGGCTGGCTGCCTGGTTTGTCCCAGCTGCGACCGAGTCACGCAGTGCACGATCGAGTGTTTTCCGATGGTGGTTTCTTGTGTCAACTGCCCTGCACGGACGCGTGCGCCCCGCAGGAAGTTCAAGGGCGCCATCCGCATGCCCAACGCGGGCTATGGCACCAACAAGAAGGACCTGCACGTGCTCAAGAGCGGCTTCCGCAAGGTGGTGATCAGCAACGTGGCGGACCTGGAGCTGCTCATGATGCACAACAGGTGAGGAGGGGTGGGGGAGCGAGGCGTCCTATGGCGGGCTGCGACGCTGCTCGGAATTCAAGGTTGGGAAGCCTGAGGCAGAGGAGGGTAGGGTGCTTGGAGGAGGGCAGTAAGCGCCATCAGCAGGATGAGCGTGGTTGAGCAAGCTGTTTGTTACGACGCGCTGCCCAGGCCGCAGTCGTTGCAGCCAACATTCTTCCACAAGGGGCCAATGAGCAGCGAGGGCTGCTTAGCATCACCTTTCAACGACCTCGGTTTCCTGACGCCTTCTGCACCGTTGCCTGCTCTTGCCACCCCCAGGCGCTTTGCGGGCGAAGTCGCGCACAACGTGAGCACCCGCAAGCGCAAGGAGATTGTGGAGCGCGCGGCGCAGCTCAACATCGCCCTCACCAACGGGAGCGCCCGCCTGCGCAGCCAGGAGGACGAGTAAGGCGCCCTGCCCGGCAAGACACAGCGTCGGAGCGCGGCGGCCGCTGCGCTGGGGGGTGCTGCCTAGAACTCTCCTGCAGGGTCGTGTAACCACTAACGGACAAGTTGACAGAACAAAACCACTCTATGTACCGGCACTGCTGGGGTGCAAACCTTTCGTGCAGTCGCGAGAAACTCTGAAAAGCACGGATTTACAACGCCGCCCACTTTGGTCGCTTCGACTGCTTTCCTTGCAGCCGCTTCCTCGTGTGCCAGGCAGGTGCAGCTCTCCTCGCTCAAGCAGGCAACTGTATATGCCGTTCACTGCTTCACTTCCTCGACACCAGACAGCTCCTCGTGCAGGTGCCGCACCTCCTCTGCGGCACGGCCGGGCTTGACGACTTCCGCCTCAGGCCCTGCCTCCTCAACCTGCTCCTTCTCAGCGAGCTTTCCCAGGGTCGCGCCCACCCCTGCGCCAACACCCGCGCCGAGCCCGGCGCCGAGGGGCCCGCCGAGTGCGCCGACGGTCGCGCCGACTGCTGCTGCAGCTGCTGCTGCTTTGGCTACGTGTGGCCGCTCCTCCTCGGTCACGTGGGCTGTGCTAGGCTTACTGTCATCAGGGTGGTCTGCCATGGTCACATGCAGCAGGGTAGTTGGGATAACGTCTGATGAGCTTTGCAGCGTTTGAGAGTGGCGTGCTGATTTGGAGGGGAGGACCTATGACTCAGGATGACTCAGGGAGTCGGGAGCTGCCGCACTGCCGGAAGCAACCGGGGTAAGTATGTCGGGATTTCCAGGAAAATCCCGACATATTTTCCAAGACCTAGCAGTTCTTGCAGCGCCCAGTCACAAACGCAACGCAGCTCCTGGCTCACCACACCCTGCACAGCTGGTACAGCTCAGCACCCGCTTCAGCGCCCTCACACAACGTACAACGGCGCGATGGCAGACAACAAAGCCAGTGGTGACCGCTCCATCAACAAGGGCCTCCCCGCTGTCGACCCCGCAGCAGTTGCTGAGAAGCAGGCCTCCCACGTGCAGGGCGACGTGGCAACCGGCGGCGCTGCTGGCGCGTCCGTGGGCGGCCTCGTGGGCGCGGTCGGCGGTCCGGCGGCGGCCGTGACGGGGGCCGCCGCCGGTGCTCTGTCTGGGGCCGTCGCCGGGGCGGTCGTGGCTACTGAGCGCGGCCCTGCGGGTGATGCAGTGAACATGGGCGAGTTTAAAGAGGCTGCCGTTGGGCCTGGCGCTGTGGGCGGTGGCAAGCGCGAGAAACGCGACTGACAGCTGTGTGCACGTCCGGCTGCCGTTCAGGCCCATGAACGTTGCCGCGCTGCTGGCTGATGCTGCGCTGTATCTCGTGGGACTGTTGCTGGGGAAACCGTACCTCTGTGGCACGGCCTGCCATCACCAGTGCCGAGTGTCTGGGAATTCACAAATCATACCTGCCGGATGTGCGCTTGCAAGGACCATTGATATGGCGTTTTACAGTCCAGTACGTACAAGTATGAGGGCCACGCATGGGGCAGTGCTGCTAGTGTTTTAATGACGCATGCGTGCAGGAGTTTGTAATCGGGCTTGCTTGCTGGTGATAAATGCAAACCAACGATCAGCTGAGGTTGACGGATTGCAGGCCTTGCGCTGCAAGCGGTGCCGCCGTTCATGCACACATCGTGCTGCTATCCAAAGCAACAGCTCTATAGTTTGATTATCTTATCGATGTGTGGGGTGCCAGCGCAGGGCACAGATGCTTGAGGGCCGCACTCTCAGGCAGGTCCGGGCGGCTTGAGGGGCGCCGCATTGGCCAGAAGGGCCCACGTCGATACAGCGCTGCGGTTGATTCAGCCTAGGTACAGTATTGTCTCAGATGAATACAAAGCTCAGTCCTTCCTGGACACACGCTGCAGAGAGAGCCGAGCTTCACTTCAGCTTCAGCCGCGGATTGCCCAGGAACCCTTCAAACGGGCTTCTCCGATTGAATTGTTAAGAGGCTGTCAGCAATTTTTCACTCCCTGGTGCCAGGCTGACACTGCGAAATTGATCTAGGTCCTCGCAGCAGCAGCAGCTTCAGCAGCCATGGTGGCCACGCAGCACGCCACAATATTGATGAGATGTATTTATTCATGACGTGGGGTCTCGAGGCCTTGTTAGCTCCCCACGAGGCTGTACGCATCACACCGGACGAGCGCGGGCCTTTGTCCAGGGGCACGTCGTGATCGTGTGTCTTACAGCGGTGAACGGCTCCTCTGTTGCTTCAACAGCTTGGCGGTGGCCACCACCTCGCCGCAGCGTGCACGTACCAGCGTGCTGCGCGCTTTTCCACACTGCCTGGGTGTGACAAAGATCGGCGGGAGCCACAGCAGTTGGTCGGCTGCCAGCGGCAGGGCTGCAAGGCTAGATGCCTTTCTACGCGTCCGAGCGGACGGGTAACCGCGGCAAGGCAGACGGGCACCACACCAAGCTGCGCATCTACCAGCAATGGCAGGGCAATGAGGTGGGGCCATGGCGACGCAATATGCCTGGTACTGGCCGCCGGGGCTCCTTACGTTGGAGTCTGAGCATAATTCAACGCGTGCAATGCGTCAGCAGTACAGCCGGCCATTGTACTGCAGCGGTGGTGGGCGTGTTGTGCACTTTGCTGAGCCTGCACGTTGATACTACACGTTGATGCGTGGCGCGAAAGCATTGCCCTGGCCCCGTCACCTGCCCTCCTTCAACTGTCCAGCGCTTCTTCTGCTGGGGCCATTGCATGGCGGGCCCCAACTGGCGCAGCTGTATCGGGTCACTGCTCCTGCTGCTGGGGCCGACAGTGGTGTTCTTGATATGGGTCGCCTGGTATATGGGCCAGCGCGTCAGCTGGGCCATCTTTGTCGTCAGGTGCGCAGCATGGGCAGCCTGACGGCCGCATTATGTTGCAGCGGATGGCTTGGTGACGCATTTTGGCCACCTTCAGGGCTGCTGGGGCGCCCATAACAGTAGCACGGGGCTTGTCTGCCAGTCCTGCGCCTGCATTGCGTGGCCCCGCTCCACCGGCCTGAGCGCGAGAGCTGCTGCACGACCTTTGCCCCCTACACGACAACTCTGCTACTGACCACGCCGCCCCTGCCCCTCTGCAACGTGCGCAGCTGCATCATGCCTGCGACCTGTGTGAGCTGGCTGCTGATGACGGCGTGCAGGGACCCGGGGGTGCTGCCGCGGCAGGAGCCGGACGAGGAGTGGCTCAGCGGCCGCAAGCCGCGCACCAAGGAGGTGGTCGTCAATGGGCACCCAGTGCAGGTGGGCGCGCCTGCAGGCCGCCCGCCGGGCGGCCCGGCCGCCGCTGCTGGTGTACGGGCAGCAGCTGCCCTCGGGCGGGGCCTGCAGGCGGCGGGCACTGCCGGGAGCTCCGGTTGGTGGCCGCGGGTGTCTTCTGAGTCCGGCGGCAGCAGCCGGCTGTACCTTCGTCGCTGAGGCAGCGGCATCAGTGTAATCCTGCTACCAAGTTGCTTTGCGCTCTGTGGCTGCTCTTGTCGGTTGCTTGACCATCCTTCTTCTGAACCCGCCGTGACAGGTGCGCTACAATGACACGTGCCACTTCTACCAGCCGCCGCGCGCGCACCACTGCAGCGTCAACGACAACTGCATAGAGCGCTTTGATCATCACTGCCCCTGGGTCGGGACAACCATCGGCCAGGTGGGGGCGCAAGCGTGACAGCAGGCGGCATGTGGGTATGGACGCCTGCTTCGCAGCTGAGCTGCGACCTTTGGCCGCACGATACCATTGCAGAGAGGGTTGCCTAAACGGCGCTGATTAAGAAAAGAGATGCCGTGCCCGCCACACTTGCAAGTGCGCGGCCCGGCAGTGGCGGCACCTCATGTCGCCGCCTGGCGGTTGCCGGGTCGTCCACAGTTCCCTGCCCCGCCCACCCTCAAACGGCGCTCCTCTTTCTCGCGCCCCGCCCCACTCCCGCCCCACCCCAGCGCAACTACCGCACCTTCCTGCTGTTCATCTATGGCACCACCATCTACATCATGTGGACGTTTGGCATCAGCCTCTGGTCCTTCTGGATCAAGGCGCGCGACCTCAAGGCGGCCGGCAAGAGCATAGAGATCCTCACCATCATAGCCGCAAACCCTGCGGGGGTGGCGCTGTGCGTGCTGTGCTTCATCTTCTTCTGGTTTGTGGGGGGCCTGTCCGGCTTCCACACATTCCTGGTGGGCACCAACCAGACTACATACGAGAATTTCAGGTGCGACAGCGCACGACCCGCCTTGCGGTTCGCTGCGGTTGCTCTGAATCCTATGCTTAATCCTGTGGCAAGCTAGATGGGAAGCTACTTGTACTCTTGTTGATCGACAAGGGCAGCTGGTCATGTTGGGGCCGCCCCTCTGAACGCCTGGCGCACCACGCACACCAAACGACTTTTCATCCCTGCCTCTCAACTTCCCGTCACCCCGCTGCTGGCTCACCTCCATCGTGGCGCGCAGCAACCAGCGCCGCCACAACCAGGGCAGCGTGACAAACCCCTACGACCTGGGGCTGTTCCGCAACTGCGCCAATGTGTGGTGCACCAAGGTGCCGCCCTCAAAGATAGATTTCAGGTGAGGCCACAACAGCCCGCTCGGGGACGGGGCAGTGGTTGCGTCCCGACATGCACCCAATCACACGTCCGTCTCGGGCGTTCCATGGCGGTTTTTCTGCCCTGAGGTGCTGGCTGTGTCTGACCGCCTATGATGCGATGAACTGCGCGCGCGCGCGTGTCGCTCACGCCAGGGCTTTTGTCGGCGAGGCGCGCAAGGCGCAGGCGGCCGCGAGCCAGCGCTCCCTGCAGGCCGACAGCCAGCGCCTTGACAGCCAACGAACAAACGCGGAGGACAGCCAGCGTTCGAACGTGGTGGAGGGCAGCTTCCCCTCCTACATCGCGTCAGGGCCCTTTGAGGGCGGCGAACCACGTGTCGGCGACAGCCGCACGCCGAGCGCCGCCCGCTCGGCGGCCTTGGTCGGCGCAGGCGTGGGCGGCGGCAGCATAACGAGCGGCGGCACTCCGCGCGGCGGGGGCTCGATGGGGCAGCCCGCGTCGCGGCAGGGGTCGCTGGTGGGTCCTGACGGGAGCAGCGCCTTCTTCCAAGGCGCGGCGGCGGCGGCCGCTGATGCGGCGGCTGCGGGCAGCAGCGCTGGACGAGGTGTGGCGGCATTGGCGCCCGAGCGCATCTCGATCGAGATGCCGCGCAGCGTGGTGGTCTCGCGGCCATTGACAGATGCGGAACACCAGCAGCGGTGGCGGCGCCAGCAGGCGCAGCAGCAGCAGCAGCAGCCGCCAGCGCTGCAGCAACAGCAGCACTTGGTGCAGCAGCCATACCAGCCAAGGCCAGGCCACCTGCGCACGCAGCGGCAAGAAGCGGGCTGAGGCAAGGGGCTGCTGCAACACGTCTGGACGCTTGTACATCTTCTTTAGAGGCAAATTGACATTATCCTGTTTGGTGCTGCCTTGAGTTCTCTTCCTTTTGACTTGTGGCCATCCACATGTAGGCAGAAAACCTGCTGCCCTTGTCTAGTGCCCTTCTGTCTTGGTAACCCAGGGCAGACCGTTCTGCAGTCCCACTGGTCTCAATCCCGTTTCAAGCAAATAGCTGGTGCTTGCACTGGGTATGTAGCAACAGGCGGCCGATTGCAAACAGGTATGCGTTGTCAGTGGCGTTGCGGGTATCGACGGCGCGTGTGCGGTGTGCATAGCTCGCACGTATGCAAAGGGTATGTGCAGAGACAATCTGAAAGGGTCACTGGCAAGTGTTGTCGGCAGGACATCTGCGTACCCGTCAACAGGTAATGCTGCTTGACAACAGCTGCATCAGGCTGCAGCCTCGCCCGGCAGTGGAGCATTCAAGACCCATATTGGGAGTTGTGAAAGGTAAAAAAAACTTGCAGTTGCGGGATGTGAGCGAGCGCTGCACAACAAACGCTCTACGCTGTGCAGAAGGCAACATGGCCACAGCCGACGCCGCTCCGGCTGTGTGCCTATCTTTCGTTTGATGTCCTCCTGCTGGTGCTACAACTCGTGCCCCTTCGCTGCAACTTCTGTCTGGACGCCTGGCGCTCCGGCGTCGCGTCGCTGCCTCACATTAGTGACCTGGGGATGAACACTCAGTACCTGAACCCGGTTGCCTGTGCAAACGCATGCCGGCCACCCTTAGTTCCGGCCAGCCTGCGCCGCCTGTGCTCCACTCGACCGCGCGGGCGTCGTGGGCAGTGAGCTCTTGCGCTTGTCAATTGCTGTCTCACACGCGGTTGTGCCATATGTTGTGATTCAGGGGGCTGTCGTTGCCAGCGGCGACCAGGATCTCCTTCACATCCTCAGGCGGCTCCAGCCCCAGGCGCGCGGCGCGCTCCCACCTGCTTGCAGCGGGTAGATTCAGAGCAGAGTCGCAGGCTGTGCTCAGCAGGCTGCTGCGACTACAGGACAAGAGCCCCGCGATGTGCATGCGCGTTGGGGGATTTTGAAGCAAAACCAGCGCCAAGCAGTGCTTGCAGCCTCCATGTCTGCAGCGGCTCACCGCTCCAGTCGCGTCATCCCTGTGCAGGGGCCAAACTTGCTGAAGTTGCAAGGCAAGGAAACATAAGGAGCAAGGGGGCTTGAGTATAGGAACGCAGCGGACTGGCTGCCGCCGCAGCAGCAGCAGCAGCAAGCGAGAACAGCGCATGCGCCACAGCACGCATGACACGAACCTTTGCAGGTCGAACTGCCGCAGCAGCCGCTCCTCCAGGGTAATACCCTCTGCGATTACAAAACGCCACGACGTTGTGATGCCGGGGTACACGGCGTCTCGAAGAGCGCGCAAACCCACCGTCCAAACAGACGAACCTCACTCACCAGACTCGAGCCCTGTATATTCCTCTTGCTCACAGACTTGCGCTATCCGCGCAGCAGGCACAGGCGCGGCCTGCGGGCCCTTAGGCCGATCCACATGCCTTTTTTCCTGCTTGAAATAGCTGCTGACCTTGCTCATTATCAACGAGTCGAGTGTAAGTAATACAGTACAACGAGAGTTAGGCACCGCCCAGGGTGGGCGTTCGCTTCTTTCAGCACCATGCGGAGCTCAGTCACTCCCCCCTTGCTGATGCTCGAGCTGCTGCTGCCCCTGATCGCCACGTGCGGTTGCCTGCTTCTGCGTATGCATACACATATATGATCCACCTGCCTATGATCCTCAAGCCACTTGTCGCATTCCAAGTGTGCTCCGCCACACCCCCACCATGTGCCCCCGCACACACGCATGCACGCACGCACGCACGCTCACACGCACGCGCGCACACACACAAAAACCAGCCCGGTGAATGACATCAAAATGGATGGACGAAGCCCATGACCAGTCAGCCTGACATTTTACTGCAGCCATGCTGGACACCAACAGATCACCCTAACAGTCATCAGTAGAGTGCGTCAAGCTCGTCCACATTCGCCAGCTGCTGCTCCTGCTGCTGCTGCGCCGCCACAGCTGCCGCCGCCTGCCGCTGCGCCGCCAGCGCCGCTGCCGGCGCGGCAAGGGCCGCGCGCTTGGCAGCGCGCTCGTCATCGTTCTGATATTCAAAGGGGCGTGGGGGCGCAGGGGTGCATAAGTGAGTTTCGGGTAGCCAGGTCGACTCACAGCCTGCTTATTTCACCCATTCCGCTGTGCCAGACTCAAAGCCCACCAGAACACGCCCACCAGAACACAGCACATGCGCGCCCTGGCCCTCCGCTGCCCCTCTGAACGCACGCCCTGCCAAGCATCACCCTACTTGCCCTGAAAGCAGTCCAAGAGCAAAACCTCTGAAATGGTCGCACTGCGTGCGCACCAGGCCGTCGTTGATTTCTGCGTTGCCGCCGCGCCGCACGCCCTTTGCGCTGCGGCGGCTGAGCTCCTGCTTTCTCTGCTTGACCTGCCGCACCTTGGGAGCCGACGCCCACGCCTCAAACCTTGGGGTGAAAGGATGGTGCGGTGCAAGTGAAATGGAGGCAGCAAATTGTTCCCAGTGAGCTCGCGTGAGGCTGCATGTGAGACCACTCCCACCAGCTGCATGGCCGCCACGGCATCCACAAGCGGAAGGTGAGCATGGGTCCTGGAGCTGTTCTATTCCACTATTCGTGTTGTTGGAACGCTCAGCCTGGCAGCACACCCTCTGGTGCTGCACCTGAACGTGGGCTCGTTGTGCAGGGTGCGTATCCACTGGGCGTTGACCATCTCCGCCTCGTCGCGCGCCGCCATCTGCTCAAACACCTGAGACGGCAGGGTTGGACACAGGGCGTGCTCTCCTGGGTGCATGTGCTTTACGCGTGTGGGCCTGAAACCCCTCAAGCGCATGGATGCAGTTGTTGTGCCAGATGGAAAGTTGGCTAGGTGTCCGAGATCTCAGCAAAGCTAAGCATCAGAGTCCTCAGCAGGAAGCCCACCGATTCCCATGCCGCCCCATTCACGTATGTTCTGCAACAAAAGAGTAGCCGCCTTGTCTCGACGATACACAAGTGTTTGACCCCCACCCAACCTTTGCACACCCTCGTACAAATGCCTGCCGTACACAAGCATACGCGTCTCCCGCACGCGGGCGTGCGCGCGCCCGCACACACACCTGGTTGACCTTGAAGGCCGTTGCCGCCTCCCGAAAATCGTCCAGGGTCATCGGGCCGTGGACCGACGAAAAGCGGCGGTTGTAAGCGTCGAAGAACGCCTCGTCCTGAAGAGGGCGGGGTTCAAGGCAGCCGTGTCGCAATGCGTGTGCGAGTGGACCAGGTTGTCGCGGAGTCGCTGCGGAAGAACTGAGCTGCAAAGCTCAAATACTTGGCAATGGTGCATGCAGCGGAAGATGTGTCCAGGTGAAACGTGCTTGCATGAGCGCACATTCAGCGCATGACAGGCCTGCGGCCACGGGACCGCACCAGGAAGAGTCCAAGCTCAGGGGCCATGGGCACGTTGAAGTCGCGGTCGGGGTCGAGCGCGGCCTGCAGGCAGGCCTCAGGCGCGGCGCCGCGCATCACCGCCACCGCCATGCCCACCTGGTTGAGGGTGGGCAAGGGTGGAATTGTGGAAGCGTGCGCCCGGGGTCGAGCGGCAGGGAGCGCATATTACACAAGGCTTGCAGCGGATGGGGTAGCACAAAGGTCCAGGGCAAGAAGGTGGGTCGTGGCAAGCTGCCCACGAATTCACTGGGATTGAGTTGTTATCCGTCCCCCAGACGCCCTACGCCGTGCAGCACCCCCAGCACACACCCGTGGCTAGCCCCGTTCCTCCTCCCCGGCCCACCATCTTGCGGATCTGGTGCATCATGAAGCTCTGGCCCAGCACAACCAGCCGGGCCCACTTCTGGCCGCGGACCTCAATGGTGCCAGGACAATGGTAAGACAGGATGTAGCGCTGCGCCTCGTTGCTGTACGCGTCCACCCTGATCTGCTCGGTGCGTGCGCGTATGACATGTGCGTATGAGAGGGAGAAGGAGAGGGTGTGCGTCGGGGTACGCGTACGTGCGCCGGCCCGTGTGTGTGTGTGTGAATGTGTGTGTGTGGATGTGTGCGTGAGTGTGTGTGTGTGTGTGTGTGTGTGTGTGTGCGTGCGTGCGCGCACGAGCACAAGCACGCAGACAAGTGGACCCTGTGCCTTGAGAATGCTGCGCGCCACCTTGAAGCCAGAGATGTCTGCGCTTTCTTGACACTGCTCAAGGCTCACTGGCTGTCAATCCAACCCCCTAAAATCCCCTTACCGTGTAATTGTGGAAGTTGTGGGTCCCGCAGTACTGCTGAAGCAGCCCGTTGAGCTTCTCCCGCTCTGCCTCTGTGAACTCGTAGGTGCTGTTCGCCACCTCTGCCCGCATCCGCCGCAGCCTGTCGCTCCCGCCCCCATCTGCATCGCCACCTCCGCCATTCTCATGCTGCTGCTGCTGCTGCTGCTGCTGCTGCTGCTGCTGCTGCTGCTCGCCGCTTCCGCCGAAGAAGCCGCCGCCCTGCCGCTGCTGCTGCTTCCGCTGTTGCGCCGCTATCCGGCGCGCCTCCCCCGCGGCGACATCGTCCGCGGTGCGGCCACGGCCGACGGCAGGGTCGAAGACCCAGATGGGCAATATGTACTCGTACCTGCATGAGAGTGGAGTCGTTGATTGGTGTGGAGAGGCCCGGCCTCACACAAGGATGAGTCAACCTACGACAGCACGACGGCGACCTCACCACGCGCACCTCGGCACTGCGCGCATGCCCTACTGCAGCCCCGGCCCCGGCGCTCTTTCCCTTGACACTTGTCCCCAGCCCTGCCGCCCCGCCGCCCACGCACTGGCGCCGGTCGCAGTACAGCCGGGAGTTGAAGCCGTCCGTTACGCGCGTGAGCCCGAGAATGCGGATCTGGCCCGGCAGGTGCGCGTTGACGCGCGCCGGGAAGCTGTCCACCGGGTCCACGAAAATTTTGGCGCTGACCACCTGTTGCAGACAAGGCGGGTGTAGGGCTGACGGCAGGTCTCCACGCCATCACTCAGCTCACAAAGGGATGGCGCGGCAAAAACAACAGGGGTACTGCCCAGCGCGTGCAGCACGCCACCATCAGCATGTTTCTGAGGGAGTGCGCGGCTCGTCAGCAACAGCAGGAGCCAACCTGGCAGGTGGCGCTCACGCCCTTGTCGGTGCGCGCCGACCGGGACCATTTGACCTGGGTGAGCGCATCGTGTCAAGTGCGTGCACGTGAGAGCAGGCTCGCGTTTGCATGCCTTTCGAGGCGGTGCATAAGCACAGGGACTGCTGATGGATTTTGCCAGGTCAAATTTTGGCTGTAGTTTGTTGTTCAGGCACGGCAAATTGCTCACAACACGTGCTAGCGGCACGCCGCACGCAATGTACCAAGCGCCTGTGCACAGCGCGCCATAAATGCTGCAAGACGCATCAAGGAACCAAGCCTCTGCGCCTTGATCCAAACCTCAACTCCCCGGTCGGCGCGTGGCGCAAGTCGACGCATTCGCCCACCCCTTGGAAGCTGCCCGCTAGGTGGGGCGGGATCGCGCCGGCCTTGACAAAGGCGCGCTCCAGCTCCTCCTCGATAGAAGGGCACCCGGGGTTTCGCTGCATCCCCTGCGAGCCGGCCCCGTCCACAGCAGAGCGGTGCAGCAGCGTCGGCTTGCAGCGCGGCAAAGCCGTCGTGGGGCGCCAGCGGCAGCAGCAGGGACGCGGGGCCAAAGTGCAGTGCAGGGGACTCACATGATATCCAGCTCCTACGTATGCGACCCATACGGCATATTTTCGGCGCCTGGGCTTGCTGGGGTCCCGCGCCTCGCCCTCCCCGTCCTCATCATCGTCATCGCCTTCCTCCTCTGCAAAAGCATCGGCGTCTATCTTTTTCACACCATCATCCACCTCCACTTCCGCTGGCTCCTCCCCAGATCGGCCTGTGTTTGGCTCGGACATGAGACCTTCTTCACTACTTCAAGGAACACACATAGTAAAGATGGCTGCCTATAAGTGCATATGAAGCTGTGTGACTGTGCGCTCTTCGGGCCGATGTCATCCTCATTCGCGGTCAACTGATCAACACTGTTTTTGCCGCTGCCTCGGAATGATGCCTGCATGATGGGCCCAAAGGATGTATCTATGGGAATGTGACATGTAAGGCTGAGTCACTCCAAGAGTGGCAGGGTGGTTGCCGCTGTAACAGCATGGTTCGGTTAATCCTGTTGCCCCTGAGACCCGATGGCAGGAGCACCTGCTAAAGTACGCAAGCACGGTGTAGGCATGCACAAGGCGGTCGTAGTCGTGAGCTGCATCACGAATTGCTGGGGTTGTTTGACCCAACAAGACTCTTGAGTGACTAGCCCATGATGCAGGGCTGCAGAAGGCACCAGCTCATGCACAAACCTTTCGGTCAGGCCAGCCGGTGCTGTGCCCGCGCAAGCATCATGCAGCGCAACTCCCTCGAAATTCCGGTAAACCGACGTATGTTACGGCACTACAAGGCGCTATTCAGGTGTGAAGTGTTAGGGCGGTGTTGTTCGCGCCGACAGCTCCTTCAAGATTGGCAGAGCCAGCAACGCTCTGGAAGGTTGAGGGCAATGCCCGCTAGAGCAGCACTGCAGCAACAGGTGGGCATGATTCTGGGTCGAGGCACATGCATGCCATCCCCCTGCTTTCCATCCATGCACCCTCCACGCATTTAATGTTGCGCGCCAACACAGGACGCATGCCATCCCGACGCAACCTGCTTCACGCATGCGGCTCGCAGTCCATAAGTCCAACGCAACATCGCGCATGCACAAAGTTGTCAACCTGGTCCATGATGCCCTGCCGACTTGCATGTCACACAGTCTGCTTTGCACTTTCAGCTTGTATGGCAACGGGACAGCCCCAAGCCAGTGTTCACAGTGCGGTACGCTCACTGATGCATCCCAAGCGCATGCCGATGCGACGCTTGCGCCCTCGTTGGCCGCGCAGCGATGACCGCCGGCCGGGGCAATCATGACATTAGTCTGATCAATCACGGGGAGTGGGTTGCAAAGCCTCAACGCGGGATTAGGGCGGTGATCAACACTAACCGCGATCTGGCGCTTTGTGAGGGGTGTGGGGTGTGCACGCAACGATATCTGTGGATGTGATCACATACAGTACTGTGAGTTACAAAGGGCCGCTGTACTCACAGCAGACAAGCGGGCACAGTTGAGAAAACAGGCACAGAAGGCAGGGGCCATCGCTGTCGACTGTCATAAGACGAGCAAGCCGCACGATACACACATACGAAACCAGACATCTTGAGGACGGACAACGAGCACCCTTTGTTCCTTGAGTGTTGTGGGCTCGTCTGAGGCCTCCGCCATGCGGAGCAGCTAGTTTGGACGCGACCACGACTGGAATCCTAGGGCTGGAGAGTTGCCAGCATGGTGCGGGCACGGCAACGGGGGCTGGCTGGATGGAGGCCCTGCTGCAATGCAGCAGATCACCATCGATGGTGGCCATGCCAAACATACGCCTCTGCACGCCCGCACGGACCATCATCAGGATATTGCCCAGGTGGATGACATCATAGAACGGCTGCTAGAGGTCAGGAATGGCAGGCCGGGCAAGCAGGTTCAGCTGGCGGAGAACGAAATACGGCTGCTGTGTTTGACCGCCAAGGAGATCTTTATGAGCCAACCGAACCTCCTTGAGCTCGAGGCGCCCATCAAGATATGCGGTGGGTGCCGGGGCAGGCTGGGGAGGTCTCGTTCCTTTCTGCGATGGCTTGGTGCTTCACCTCGGAGCGCCCCTTTCCCGCCCCTTAGGCGATATACACGGGCAGTACTCGGACCTGCTGCGGCTTTTTGAGTATGGAGGCTTTCCGCCGGAGGCAAACTACCTGTTCTTGGGGGACTACGTGGACCGCGGGAAGCAGAGCTTGGAGACAATCTGCCTGCTGCTGGCGTTCAAGGTGCGCCCTCAAGGGGCAGTGGCGATGGGGTAGGCACGCATTGTGTGATATAAGCATCCTGGGACTGGCAGAGTGGGCGTTGGAGCCTGCCAGCAGCGGTGATGTGCGTTCGCAGGGCGCTCCGCTGTCGCCTGCGTCTGTAGCCGCCGCCGCGACGGTGCAGGCATCTGCTTGCACAGGAGCGCGCAGCCGCTCGTTGCATTGGACAGCTGTAATTGGGCTGCAGCAGGCTGGAGATTGCGGCTGCATACTCGCAGGCATCACTGTGTGCCAAGCCCCAATGGGGTTTGTGCAGTGGTTGCTTGCATGATCCACAACACTTTTGCCAGTCGTGGCTGGCGGGGCTCTTGCCACCCTGCGGCCAGGCCCTGTTTTGAGCGGCGCAAAAGACAAGGCAGCCACCTGGCCCTAGGAACTGGCAGGCTGCTCAGGCGCGGCGCAGCGGCGCTGCCGTGTTATGCTGGCCTTGTCCCACATCGTGCGTGCGCTTGCTGCCCCTGGCGTATCCGCAACAGATCAAGTACCCCGAGAACTTCTTTCTTTTGAGAGGCAACCACGAGTGTGCCTCCATCAATCGCATCTACGGCTTCTATGACGAGTGCAAGCGGCGGTACAACATCCGGTTGTGGCGGACGTTCACAGACTGCTTCAACTGCCTGCCAGTCTCGGCGCTGATCGACGAGAAGGTAGGCTTCACAGCTATTAGCGGTGCTGGGGCTGTCCGCTTGGGGGCAAAGGCATGCAGCATCCAGGCATGCATACTGCGGGCCTGCCCGCGCTGTTGCGTATCAGCAGCTGAGGGCTACCTTGGCTTCTGCCGCACCAGGCTTACAGGAGCAAAAGGGCATGTTGAGGCACCAGCTGCAGATGCAAGCTCTTGAGCAGCCGCCTGCCAGCAGCTGGTGTGGTTTCTTTGCGGACACGTGCATATCACGCTTGTGGGTGCAATTCCCGTCCCGTCCCGCCTCGCCGCCCCGCCCCTTCCCTCCCCTTCACTGCCAACCCTCCTGCTTGTCCCCACCCTGCTCACCGTGCCGTTCAGATCCTGTGCATGCACGGCGGCCTGAGCCCTGAGCTCAAGAGCCTGGAGCAGATCAAGCGGGTGGCGCGCCCAACGGACGTGCCGGACAGCGGCCTGCTGTGCGACCTGCTGTGGGCGGACCCGGACAAGGACATCCAGGTGGGGGCCCAGGGGCTGCAATGGCAGGGGCGCGCCAGAGGACCTGGGTTTGGCCGTTGGGGCACACGCCTGAGCGTCGCAGCGGCGCGGTGATCGTGTGAGGGGCACTGCAGGTTGTGGTGCCAGGTCAGGGCGTCGTTTCCTGACCGGCCATTCGACTGGCGGTGTTGTGGGGGCGCGACCGTGAGCACGCATACGGTTTGCAGCAGCAGCAGCAGCAGCAGCAGCAGCAGCAGGATGACAGTGTCTGCGCTGCACCGCACATGAATATCCGACAAAACCCTTACTGTCGGACGCCTGTGCGTGCTTCCGCCGCCCAGGGCTGGGGCGAGAACGACCGGGGTGTCAGCTACACGTTTGGGTCGGACTGCGTGACGGACTTCTTGCAGAAGCACGACTTGGACCTCGTCTGCCGCGCCCACCAGGTGGGCAGAGGCTGCCCAGATTTGGGACGCCCCCACAGGGCCGGCGGGCCAAACGGGCGCTGAGTCATGCTTGGGTGGCGAGCACCAGGATCACCCTTCCTGTTGCTCGCGCCGCAACTGGGCGCCGTCGATGGTAAGGGTAGCATAGTCGCAGCGGCCGTTCTTGCGCATGTGTCGCGCGGGACCGTCTTGACAGCGCGTTGCCCATGAGCGCGTCCAACCCTCCTCACCCCTGGCCCCACCAGGTGGTGGAGGAGGGCTACGAGTTCTTCGCCAAGCGGCAGCTGGTCACCATCTTCAGCGCACCCAATTACTGCGGCGAGTTTGAAAACGCGGGCGCCATGATGAGCGTCGACGAGACACTCATGTGCTCGTTCCAGGTGCGGTGGGTGCGGAGGGCGTGGGGAGGGCACGCGCTGCAGGATGAAGGGCTCGGATGGGTTGTCTGCATCCACATGTGATATCTGCCCTTGTTTCAAGAGCTGTTGCTAGCTTGGCATGCAATCTTTCGTTGTGGCTGACACTGCTGGCGATTGCTTGTGCTGCTGCAGAGTGCTCGGCCTTTGCTGTCGTGATGGCGTACAGCCCAACGCTCACACGCAACTCCCACAGATCCTCAAGCCGGCTGAGAAGAAGCAGAAAGCTGTCTACGGCGGCGGCTACTGAGCAGCAGCAGTGGCGCGCAGCGGTGGCTACCGTGGCTGTGCTGGCTGTTGCGGCGGTAGGACAAGCTGCTTGGGGCTCACTGCCGCCAACATGGCTGCCGAAGGCCTTCTCCTGTCGGCTTGAAGGTGGCAAGCGTGGGCGGCAGGTCGTGGTCGGGTGTGCCGGCGAAGTTCCCAGGCCCTTGCTGGCGCCCGCCCTTTGTTGCGTGGGCGCCGCACTCTGGCACCGGCAAGGTGCTGCTTTCATTACGGGCTGTCTCATCGCGTAGGCCTGCGGCGCCCTCCCCATGCAGTCATTCGCGCTGCCGCTCTGCATGAGCCGCACAGGTGTGGCTGCCGCCAACGACAGAACAAGGCGGCTGCCTTGTTTGCGCGCGCCTTGTCGTGTGTGTCAATTGTCAATCTGAAACAGCACGATCGTCAAAGCAGGGCCGGGGCGGGGCGTCTGTCCGACGCGTGAGCTGACTGCATAGGGCCTACGCAAGCCTCTCCATGCGGCGCCCTTGCATCAGGTGCATTCTCGTGTTTTGTGTGTGTCACCCGCTCTTTTTCCCCTGGTTTCTCGTGGCTTCACTTCTTGTTATTTTGTCGCGCCGCAAGCGTGCTTGCTGGCGTGTGGTGGGACCCACTCACGTAGGCTCCAGGGCAACCTGCCCCCATGTAACCCTACGCCTGTAGCACCTAGAGGCTGGCGGTGCACTGATTGTTGTGAAACCTCGATGCTTGCCCATCCCAACCCTCTGCATCCTGGTCAGCAGAGACATTACTTGGGCCAACAACACAGCAGAGTGCGGGCAGCAGGCAAGCCACCATACTAAAAAAGGCATAACAAGATATCAGCATCACGTGCTGCTGGTGATGCGCGGCCGGCTTGATTTGTGTGTGTGTGTGTGTGTGTGTGTGTGTGTGTGTGTGTGTGTGTGTGTGTGTGTGTGTGTGTGTGCATTGCATTTGTGCACTACACACAGGAATGACAAGGGCTTTGCAGCATAAACTGGTAGGTAGACTCCGCACGCTGACAACAATTCAATGAATGAGTTCACAGCAGCAACAACAACCCACTGCAGTATCTTGGTGGGAAACATATACACGCAGTTGAGTGCTGGAGTAACGACAACTAATATTCTGGGCAGGGCAAATTCCCTTTGGCAGTGCCTGCAACAATGTGAGCACAGACCACATCACCAACCTGTCCCTGGCTGCCTGGATCAACCCGTTGCAACATTTTGTCCTGGCCTCCAGCCGCTCAGCAGCACGCTCGGCCGCCCCGCTGCCCCCAGTCCAGCTAACGGGCCGCCCTGCCTGCTGTTCGGGCCCCCTTTCGCGTCAACCAGCTGCTTCTTGATGCAGTACAGGTTGACACCCGCCAGCTCCAGCGGCCTGCCGGCCTTCACGTCGGAGACGCTCCAAAAGGGGCCCCTGAAGCCGCGGCTGGAGAGGTAGTAGCCGAGGCCATCCATGAACCTGCACGCATGGATTTAGGGGCAGGCGGGCCGGCGCAAATGGGAGTGGGCAGCGGGGGATGCCGCCTGTGCTGGGGAGAGGGTGTTGACGGAGGGTCGAGCAGCAACACTAGATGCAGCTGTGTGCTGCTTGTTTCTCCTGGCGAAGCAGGGCGAGAGGAAAACTTCAGCTCGCAGAAGCCGCGGCGACCGAATGATGCACAGCGGCATTGGCATCGGCCTCACTTCAGAAATGCTGCCTGGCCGTCTTCCTTCAGGAAGTCCTTGTTGCACTCCGCCATGACAAACCACACGTTGCGGCCCCTCAGCAGGCGCTCCGCCCCTTTCAGCACCTGCGTCGTGGCGCGACCGACCCCGGGAGTGCGATGAGGCGCGCCTGCGGGTGCAGGCAGGTCCGAGGGGCAGGCGGCGTGAAGACCCACCCCCTGCATTTCCGCATGCTGACTGGTCAAGTGAAGTCAGCTGCTGCTGCGTGACTTCTCCCACCTGTGTTTCAAAGCCCTCCACGTCAATTTTCACAACCTGTGAGAGGGCGAAGGCCCGGCATGCGGCAGGGTGGCATCTTTGCAATTGTCAACGTGTAAGGTCAGCGCAGACGCATGCGTGCGCCTGCGCTGCGCCCGTGTGATGCGCACGAGAGTCTAGCTGCGTTCAGCAATTGCCCCCTGGGCCCCACCAAAGCCCATCTTCACCTGCACATCATGGTCTATGAGGCCATCAAGCCGCATGACACTCATCTCCCCCCGAACCTACAGGGATTGCGGCGAGGCGGTGGGGCCGGGATGGGTGGAGTGACAGGCGGGCTGGGGTGCGCTTGGCGGTGGGGTTGGAGCGAGGCAGGGACGCACAGGTGTTTGCTGAGCGGTGCCAGCGCCATGGGACACCTTGCACATTGGCTCAGCACTCGACTCGAAGCACGATGAAAGGCAAGGGGGCGGAAAGGGGGTGCAGCAGGCTCCCTCTCCGGTGAGCGGGGCACCCTAGAGCGCGGATCTTATGCCATCAGCTGGATCCCTGCCCTCAAACAATACCTCATAATCATAGCCGCTTTTGAGCTTCCATTCCTGTTCCACCTCCCTGTGCGGGCGGTCCTGGGGCGGCAGGGCGTAGTCAGATTGGGGCGGTGCTGGTCAGTGCGGGGAGGGGGGGGGGGTGTAGACTTCATATGGGCGCCAAGCTTGAGGCCTTACAAGGGCTTACTGCAGCCGACCAGGGATAGGGTTGGCCCCTCACGTCGTCACACAGGGTGTGGCCATCGCCCCGGTTGATCGTGCCACTCAGGATGATGCACTTGGTGCGCCTGGGGATGGGGCGAGGGGGCAATGCGATTGCATTGCGAATCCAGGGGTTGGCAACATGGCCCCAAAAGTGCCATGTTCTGAGGGGTATATGTCGTCACACGCGCGCGCGTGTGTGCGTGTGCGTGCGTGCGTGTGCGTGCGTGCGTGCGTGCGTGTGTGTGTGTGTGCAAACCCTACTGTACGGCAAAAGACTCAGCAGGCCCAAGGCGTGTAATGTGTGCAAATCATTGCGGGCGAGCCTAAAGCATGTGTGCAGCTGTGCGCGGGGGCCCGCTATCAAAGCGCCGCAGCACCAGGCGCAGCTGGCGGGCGAGCAAGGGGCGGCTCACTTGGTACCGAGGCCAGTGCCGTACAGCGCCACACGGTCCATGAGCCAGGGGTTGGCACAGAGGGACGAGCGCACCAGCTGGATATTGCTGGCCATGGCTGCGGGGCCGGCAGTGGCAGGACAGGGTAATGCAGCAGGGCGCAATCCTGTTTGTCTGGCGCAAGGGGACCCATTGACGACGGCCTGCTCTGCCGGGCTCCCCTGACCGTCAAGGCCCATCATTGCAAGGCAAGAACTTGGATCGCAAATGCTGTGGCTCCGACGCAGCTGGGCACGCACTCAGGCGTGCCGTGCGCAAGAAGCAAGCCAGCCCTGCCCGCCGCCGAGCCCAGCCTCCTGCGCACCTTCAAACGCGGCCACCGTGGCGCCCGCGGCGGCGGCGTTGAGCGTGAACCACCCGACGTTAGCGCCGATGTCTACGACAAACGGCGGACGCGACCGCCGCCAGCGTTTCGGTGTATTGGCGTCCGACGGGGACTGGGGGACGGGCGCCCTCATGGCATAGAGCATTTGTTTGACCTCCTGTAGAGGCATAGTGGGCGTTGGGGCGGGGGTTTGCCTGGTTGGCGCCGTGGGGAAGACACACAACGGCAATGGATAAAGAGTGTGCGGGGACATTGTTTGGGACGCCGATAGGATTTCCCTGGGATGGAAAATGACAGTCGTCACTTGGACAAAGTGCTGGTGCATCGCTGCCCAGGGGCCACATCCTGCCAGGCATCCTAGGAAGCTTGCGCCCTTGCGCCCATGGCGGCGCCCCGCCACTCTGTCAGAATCCCCGCCAGCCGGCCGCCTGCCCCTTCCTCACTCGCGCACGGCCTAGACCTCGCTGCTTCCAGTCTGTCCACCACCGCCCCTCACAACATGAGCCCCCGACACCGCCCTGTTCCGCTCTCTGCGCCCCCCCACCAGTCCCACCGGCTGCTCACGTGGTCCTCCCAGTTGTGGGCGTCACTCCTCAGGTGGTTGCTGACGATGTCGTCGGACGCATACACCAGCATCGACGCGTTGCCGAACTTGGTCCACGAGGTGCCCTCAGGGTCTGGCTTGTGTAGGCGCGCGCTGCGGGTGGGGCAGAGTTTGTGCGAGCATTGCCGGTTTTGTGACAGCACCTCCGCAGGAGTGGGCGCCGGCCTCTGCCGCTCACGACCAGGCGGGGTTTGAGCACCTGGAGGGGTTGCATTGCGCACGTCCTTGTGTGCAGTTCGTTTGCTAGAGGATCAGGAAGCGTGTTCGTGCATCGCGCGCCTCACCTGCAGAAAAGGTCCTGGTGCAGCCGCACCAGCCGCCTGGCTTGATCGCCGCCTGCGCCTCCGCCCGCGTCCAGCAGCGCGGCCGTGGTCAGCGCGCTGAAGTTGGTCAGCGGCAGCAGCAGGTGCGCCAGCCGCGCGTCGACTGGGCGCGGCTGCTGCTGCTCGGCCGACCGAGCGGCGCCACTGCTGGTGGCCTCGCCTTCCAGCGCTCGTTCATGCTGCGGCCAGCCGTGCTTGATGGCTGATGGGCTGGAGCCGGCTGGCGCAGGGCGCCTGAGCTGCCATGCCAAAATGAGCAGCATCACCAGAGGAAGGGCTGCCCAGGGCGCCGTTGCCCCTGCATGATCACCCATAGCACAGTCGGCGACGGATGCCATCAGAGGGGATGGCGCGGCTTGTGGGGACGCTTCGGCGCACCTCCCACTGAGAGGCGGCGCGGCGCTGCAGTGCGTGTAGAAGTCATCAGCGCTAACCTTTCCTAATCGCTGATGGGCCTCGCTGCCCCGCCATGCCAAAGCCAAGTTATTTGATCAGCCGCGCACACTGTGTCATGCATCGTCGGGATATTGGATCATGCTGATAACTTATGTTCAGAAATATTCGGCACTGTTCACGTCCGTGCACGACCCTAGGGTGACCGGTCAGATCACGTGGTTGATCAACAAAGAGTCTCACTCGCACCCCAGCGGGCTTTTCGAATGTCACTGTCTTACACACTGTTGTCTGAAAAAAGAAACATTTTGAGACTGTGATCTGGGACCAGACAGGGCCTAAACACAGCACCCTGTAGTCAATACGAGTCAAACACCAGATGTGCACAGCCTTGCCAGCGGAATGGCATTCGAAGGTAGCAACAGTCTACTAGGCCCACAATAGTTGCTCGGCGGCTCTCCTGCGTTGGTGTTGCCATATTGCAGAGTGTACCATAATACCACCACGCGGCAACTGGCCCTGCCGAGCGATTGGTTGCCCCCTTTCTGCCTGGTGTCCCTTACACATGTGTCACGTGGCCAGACACAGAGCGAAGGGAGCTGGCAGCTGCACATTGCTACCCCTTGCATCAGTTGCTTCACACTTGTCTCAAGACAGGAGACCACCTGTTGCTGTGCTGTTTATTTTATTCGAACATGTGTCGCAATTGAAGGCACCTGAAACGTAACAAGGCTGAAATACATTCACACACTCACACACACACACACACTCACACACACACACACACACACACACACACACACACACACACACACGCACGCACACACATACACACACACACACAAACACGCACACGTTTCCTTGCAGACACAGCTTTATTTCAAGTGCGGACACTTGCGTTCTACCAACCAGGCGGTTCGCGACAGCTTTGCAAGCGATTTGCACGCAGTTTAAACCGACCGCTATTTAACGCCGTTGGCAAATGTACGCGCCGCCTTGAAATGCATCAACAAGACCTGCACGCTCGCACATGCGGTATGCCAATGGTGCATGTGCGCGGTACGCCTGCTTACTAAACACGTGCATGACATTGCGTAGGCAAACAAGCAATGGTCTCTGCCTCACTCTGCCTGCGACTGCCACCATGGCTGGCCTTGCAGGTACAGCACCCGTTGAGCGGGCGCATCACATGCCGCCAGAACCGTCTGCATTCGGCCTGTTTGCCCGCACCGCTGCCTCCAATGCGCGCCACACGGCAGCGCCCCCAACGTCATCAAACACATCCCCACCACTCTGACCGCCTGCCCTGCGCTCACGCGTCGCAGCGCCAGCTAGCAGCTCGACCCAGCGCCCGTTGATCGCGGAGTACAGCTTACGGAGTGCGCCCTCCGCGGCCTTCTCCTCCGCCGAATTGCCGCCACCCTGGAACTCCACGCCAAGAGCGGCGACCGCCGTGAAGCGCAGCGAGCGGCCGCCCATCATCGCCGAGAAAAAGTTCTCACCGCCCCACTTTTCTTGCGCGTCGCTCTTCTCGAAAGCGTAGGGCAATAGCTCCCCAGCGGCTGCAGCAAGCTTGGTCCATTCCCAGCCGCGCCTGGGCACCACCCCACGGGAGACAGCAGACTTGCAGAACACCTGCTTGCGGTCGCCCGTGGCAGTGCAGGGGTGGATGCGGCGGCAGGTGTGCCTACGGAACGTTCATGTGCATGCAATCAGCATGGTCTCATCCCTCTCATCACATGCACACACACATGCATGCGGGCTCTCTCTCTCACTAAAACAGGCAAGCGCACGCACGCCCGTGTGCGTGCTCACCAAGCGCGGTGGCCCCCAAATGCGTGTGAACGGGCACAAACAAACATAAAGCCCACCAGGAAGTCCTCGAGAATTGTCTCCGTGGTACCGTCCGGGTCATATAGGCCTGCAAATGTGGGCAGCGTGCATTGCATGTGTGTATGCGCACATGCACCAAAACAGGCTCACATGTGTGTGTGTGTGTGTGTGTGTGTGTGTGTGTGTGTGTGTGTGTGTGTGTGTGTGTGTGTGTGTGCGTATGAGAGAGGGGTGTGTCAAAGTGCGCGCACGTGCATGCGCGCGCGTGGGGATTAGGATTAGGATTAGGATTGTTACGAGATCCCGCGGTCGCCCGCTCCTGGAGCCATCCAGGCTCATGGGATATGACTTGGTAGCATCAGCATTGTGTGACAGGGATTCAAGGGGCCACTGTTCGCCGTTCAAAGCAGGCGTGCACAAAGGCCCCGAGTGTATGCTGTGTGTTTGTGTGTGCGTTGTGTGCGTGGCTATGTGTGTGTCTGTGCATGAGTCACATGCGCATCAGAGAGGAAAAGGAGGGCAGGGACAGCAGTTTCCCAAAGGTCGGCATAATTAACAACCTGATGAGGATTGTGCATGGCCTTGCCAATCAGAATGAGTGCACGAGGCAGGCCTTTATTTTTAAGAAAGAGCGCAGCTTGCGTGTGTTGTGCTGCCGCACCGTGAAGGTTGCAGCCGCCATAAACGTAGTCATCATCCAGACGCATCCTAGGTCGGAGAAGGCATTCCAAGAAGAGGGGACTGGCGTGAGCTCATATCAACAGGCTGTGCAGCGGACCTGGCAGGGCGCTGCTCGCCCCATTATGCTGTTCCGGCACATGTCACACAACACCAAACCCATGTGCAATCCAACTCCTACAACACTGACTTATTTGACGTACGTGCCCACCTGTAACAGTCCACGAACCACTCATACTGCCGCTCCCCCAGGCCAACCGCCCACGCGTCGGGCGGCGGCGGGCCTGGATCACCCCGCCGCTGGGTCGGGGCTGCCCTGGTGCGCCCCCGCGCCTGCCTCCTCAGGTCCCGCACCCTATCCCTGAATTCCTTGTTGTCAGGGTTGAGGGCAAGCCCGGTCTCAAACGCCTGAAGTGCCTGAATGACAGTGGCAACGCGGGGCAGGGTGGTGAGGGCTGGAGGGCAGAAGGGGTAGGTGCCAGTCTGCACAAGGCAGGCCGACACTACAATCCCCAGCGCACATGTCGCCGCGAACGACAGCAAAACCCTCAGGATCCTACAGTCAAGCTGGGCGCAAGGGCGCAAACGTGCACACCTGTGCCTCCCTGTCCAGAGCCTGCAGTGCAGCGCCACGCCGCCAGTGGGCCTTGTCCCATTCAGGGCGGAGGCGAGCAGCCAGCTCGGCGTCGTCGAGCGCGCGCAGGGCGGCGCCCTGCTTCAGCAGCGCCGCGCTGCGATTACTGTGTAATTGTTGGGAGGATGCAGGACGTGGCGGCGCATGGGTTTGTGTCGTGATGTGCCAGTGTTGCAGCAGTGAATGAATGTTTGTGGCAGGATGTTGGGCGCTTCCTCTACCCTGCCAACCTGTGCAACGCCGCATCTGGTGCACCAGCCGCTTGTATTGCCTGCGTGTATAAGTCTACAGCTGCCGCCCAGTTGCCGGCCGCAAAAGCAGCGTTGCCCTGCTCGCGCAGCGAGGCCATGGGTGTACCGTAGAGCCCGCTGGGTGACTCGGAAACCAGGTGACGCGGGCAAGCACGCCAACCTCGTGACAGCAATGTAGCAGCAGCTTTCAACAACATATGCAATCCTAGTAACAGCAGTGTATACGTGTGGTGATCTGATCAGACGGGCCACCACAATCAATATCAGTTATGAAAGTGAAATTAAAACAGTAGCATGATCAGCTTGCGTTCTTCGAGAGTGTGAGGGGGTGCAAAAGTTGCAATGTGCATCAATCCATCAATGATGAAACACAAGGGCCGAGCTGCTGCAGCTGCACTCCTGGAGTGTGAGGAGGGCAAGCACACACATGGGCGTCATGGAAGGCCGGGAGGCGGAGCAAGAGCCAGAAACTGTGGCAGCCACCGGCCAACAACGCGACGACGGCGTGTGCCGGTACAAATCTGAGGCACTGAGCCGCCACACACGTGACGTGCATTATCCCGCTGTCAAGGCTGCGAGGGGTGCTGAGCTGGACCCAAACGAGGCCCCCCCCGCCACTCACCCGACGCCGTGGTCCACCGCCATGGCGGAGATGATGCAGCTCCCTTCTGGCACGCTCCGGGGCCTGCCCTTCTTCGCCACCCCCGGCCCACCGCCCGCTGCCGTCCCCACGCCGCCGCCGGCGTCGGCGTCAGCCGGGCGAGCATGGTGGCGGCTGGCGCCCTGGCCGCCGGGGCGCACCGCACCGTCGTCGCCCCCCATCTCCCACTCCTCCTCCATTGCCAGGGTCTCCCGCAGCTCATCATCACTGCCATCCGCCTCATAACGGCTGCGGGTGCGCCGGCGCAAGGGCGCCGGCGGCGCCGGCATATCGCCACCCCGGCCGAAGGGCCCTGCGCCGTAGGCTGGTGCCCCGGCGCCGCCGGCGCCGCCGGCGCCGCCGCAGCCGAAGCGACCGTCCGTGTCGACGGTGAAGAGGCGGGCGATTGCGGGGCCCCCC